TCAAAGAATGCTGATCCAGGATTCCTCCTCTTCAAATTCCAATTCCCAAACAGTAAATTCTGTAGATCCGGAAGACCTCGACCGCTTTGAGCCCTCCCCAGAACGCCCACTTCGGGGTTTGATCATCAACCTCAGCTCAGTTCTCTCCCTAACCGAGTGTCCGCTAAACGCCACCTCTGGCGCCACAAAGGCCGCTCTAAATTACCTCAACCGAGCCCTGGCAGCAGAATATTCCGCCCGGCACGGAATCTTCATTCAAACGGTTTTAGCAAATCAAGTAAATACCAAAGCAGTGGCCAAGGGCGCCATTGCTCGGAACTGGTTCGGCGTCAGCGCCTTCGACTTTGTCTGGTACAGTTTGAAGGCGGTGGCCCGGCAAGAGGCGGTCACCAGCGCCCACCCGCTTCATAAACTCCTCAATGGGGTGATCGTTTTTGCGAGAGATCACCTTCCCGAATCGGTGTTTATGGCGCTGAAGATGAAGGTTGCGAAGAGGATTAGAGCCAGATATCAGGAAGACAGAGAAAGAGGAGGCGGGGTGATGAGCGAGGTGGCCTCGATGGAGCAGGACTGAAGAAGAATTAAAAAGAATTAAAAATTAACTTTTTTTCTAAACCATTGTACTGTTGTTGGCTTAGCATTTACCTTTTTGTCAATTCAAAATTAAACTTCTTTTTATGAATAAAAAGTTGAAGATGCGAAAGCACAAGTGAGACACTTATGGTTTTCCGTTTTCCATTTTTGTTAATATTGGTAGTAAAAGTAAAATAGGTGACCACCACATAGGTAAAAAATAACAACAAAAAGTAGAATAAAGTGGCCTGAACAATCTTCTTTTTCTTCTTCAGTTCAGAGGCCACCGGCGCCCTGGAAGACTAGCTTCAGGTCCACTTGGCCGCCTAAAAAGTGTTAAAAAATTCTCATTAAAAATTAAAAACAAAACAACTTTGAAATATTTTTACCCATCGGCGGCGCATCCCGATCAAAGAGGGCGACACACTTGAAGAGCGCCTTGGCGTGACAGTTGGCCAGCTGGGCAATCAGCTCCGAGCTGAGAGGCTGAACTTCACCGCCGGAAATAGCCAATTTCTGACCTTTTCCTGCTGGGGGGTGGTTCCCCGGTGGCAGGCCCGCCAGGTAGATGTCCCCAATGAAGGAGGCAATCTTGGGGAGCATTTTAGGAGCAGCCTTACGAGCCAGCGCCACTAAACTCTGCTGAAAGTGGGCCACCTCGAGGTTGAAGAGAAGCAGCGGGCGATATTCTACAAGAAAAAAGTGAAAGAAAAATGTTATACAATTGCCGTACAGAAAATTTTATCAAAAAAGTACTCACCCAAACTCTCCGGCTCAAAAGAGACAAAAATCATCACCTTCACAGTGAACTCCTCAGCAGTTCGAAGCAGTGTGAGATTGAAAGATGGCTGAGAATTAGAAACGGGAGGAGTTTCATTTATCACCACTTTTTGACCAGGACCTTCTTCACCAACAACGACGTCCACCAGCGCCCCCAGCGAGTCCATCTGCCGGCCGCCGCCCTCAAAAGACTCATTGAAGGTGTCCACGGTGAGGCTGAAGTGAACGCTCGAGCTTGGTGTTCCGAAAAAGGCCTCCGAAGAAACATTAATTTTGAAGGCGATGATCATCTCTTCGGTTGGTCGCTGGCCGACGACACTCCACAGCAGGGAAAAGGACTGGCCCGGACCGGAAGGTCGAAAAACGTCCAAGACGGCCACGGGAGGGTCGCTAGAGAAGAGGCACTTCTCCAGGTCAATGTCCAACATTGGAGGAGCACCTTTCTTTTGTCCTTGACCTCCAATGCCGTTCATCAGCGTCCAATTGGCGAAACGTTCCGTCTCATCAGCCACCGAGTTAATTCCCGGGCCCTTCAGTCGAAGGGAGACCACGCTGCGCAGCTTCACCGGATTCACCCCACTTCCGGTGACAAAGTTGAAGCACTTGAGGCGAAGACGATAAGAAGTTCCTTTGGTCAAGGAGGTCAGGGTGCTTGAAATTCCATTCACAGAAGTGGTAATAGCTGGAGCCTCGAGAATGGCCGCAAAAAGTCCTCGACCGGGCAATAAATCCCAATAAAAAGGCGGAAGGTTTCCCTGAGGACCTAGACCCGGAAGTACCTGAAGAGAGTCGTGCAGGGCCTCCAGCTGTTCGTCCTTGATCTTCAGCAAACTTCCACCGCCGCCACCTCCTTGAATTGAAGATTTTAAAGTCCTTTCCTTTTCCTTTTCCTTCTCAGCCTCAGCGGCCAGCCGACGTTCCGCCCCACCAGGCCAAAGAATAAAGAGGGGCCAGGAGGCGAGGTCCAGGCGACGATGATCAGCTGCAGAAACCGAGGCCTGACTTGAAACCGAAGCAAAACGTCCTAAATTGGTGTTCGAATCCATCGAAATTGGAAGGTCATAGGCGAAAATCTCCAAAATGAGCGCCAACTTTCCGCGATGGGCGACGGGGAATTGGCTGCTGACGCAATTGACCTTGAAGGTGATCACCTCGGCGAAGGAGGCCGAATCCGCCCCCTCGGCGAACTCCAGCAGCACAATGCACTGGTTGATGTAGGCGGGGTGGGCGAGGCTGCTGGCCACCACCTCCATCGTTTCAGCTTCATTAAAAATTATTGAACTTGAAGAGCCGGTAGAGGTGATCGAGGTTGAAGAAGCAGTGGAGGAAGAGGAGGAATTATCAACAACACCAGGTGAAGAAGTTTTCAATAAAATTTCCTCTTTTTCTTCATTAAAGTTTGAGGAGTCCTTCTCAATGGACTTCAGGAGCTGACTTTGCTTGCTGCTGCTTCGAGCCATTTTTCCCCTTTTAGCCTTCTTCTTTCCACTCCTCTTTTTGCGCACTGAAAACTTTCTCATCTTGGAAGTCTTTGAAGGGGCTCGACGGGCTCGAACGGTAATGGACTTGGTTTGCTGTTGAAGTTGAGGAGGAGGAGACTGAGGAACTTCATCTTCAGAAACCTTCACTAAAGTTGGAGAAGAAGTTCCCGAAGAAGAAGAAGGAGTTCCCTGGTGAACTTCTTCAGCAGCAGGAGCAACAGGAGCTGACTGCAGCTCAATGAGGCGCTCTCCTCGATGCGAGCACGCCCACGTCTTCACCAGCTCCACTTCCGCCTTGCGAAGTTCCGGCTCGACGAGGCCCAAGCGAAGGCGACCATAGTACTGCTGCTGGGGCAGGGGCTGAGGTTGGGGCTGACTTCCATCCACTTCCGGTGATGTCTGCGATGTTCCAAGCGGCGGCAGCTGCACNGGTCCTGGTGCTGGTGATGATGTCCCAAGCGGTGGCAGCTCCGCCCGCTTGACAATGCGAATCGAGTAGGGGCGTGAACGTTCAAGGAGGGCCACCTTCCTCGAAGGCGTTTTGGGCGTCTTGCTGTTGTTGGTGAGGCTCAGCAGCGAACCGGAAGCGAGGTCGGCGTTGGCGGTGCTCATCGAGGGCGCCTCAAAGTGAATGGAGAAGGGGTGCGAAGAATGATGGGGCATTTTCTGACGATGAGTTGACCTTTCATCAAAGCAAAAAATGAAATTTACTTTTACAACTCATCCTCTTTTTCTTCAAAAAAAACTTCGAACTTCACAATCCAAGCAAAAGGGCTTCGAAAATCAGCCAACTAAAAAAAATTATCGTGCGCTCTTTTGTTGGCCTTTTTATTTTTTTTGCTGCTCGTAAAAAATTGAGCAGAGCTAAAAATTTTTGCAAAAAAATTGGCCCTAGATTTTGCGCACCTTGTCGGCGACCACCTTGGGATTGGCCTTTCGAAGCTCGCTTTGCCCGGCCGCTCGGTAGTCGTAGGTGCAGCCGTGGCCGGCAGAGTGGCGGTGGACGACGCAGAAGCGGCTGCCGCAGCGGCAGTCGAATCCTGAAAATAAGGAAAAAAATGTTGTACAAAAAAATCTAAACAATGAAAATATCACCCCAAAAAACTTACCAATAACCTCGATGCTGGTGCCGCACTGCTGGCAGCGACTCTTCTTCGCCTTCTTGGCTCCTTTCTTGCCTTCTTCGTCTTTGGCGCTTCGAACCTTCGAGCTAGCCATAAACTCCTTTTTCACCTCTTCTTCCTTCACCTTCACCACCATCTTCTGACGCTTACTACCATTGGACTTTAGTGAAGCTTGGCTGCTGCTGATAGTAGAAAAAGAGGAAGTGGTGACCTTCGAAGCTGAAGAGGATGAAAAGGATCGCTTGGTTTTGTTGCTGTCACTTCCGCTTCCGCTTCCGCTTCTGCTGCTGCTGCCTCGATAGGGCGTGGGAGGTCGAGGAAAAGGAGTTCCTCGAGAGCTGCTGTTGCTGCTCTTCTCCGGCGGAGTCAGGTCCCAGCTGACTGAAAGAGGAGTTCCTGCTCCTCCTACTCCTGAAGTTCGAGGAGTTCCAAAAGTTCCAACAGCTGAAGATGATGATGAGTCAGCTGAGGATGACTTGGCGGCAATCGAGGTAGCTGCTGCTGCTGAAGCGGAAGTTGAGGTTGAGGAAGAGGAAGCCCTGGAGCTCTTCTGCTCTTCACCGTAGCACCGGGAGCACTGGCCGCCAAAGTTGGGGTGGCCGAAGAAGCCGCAGTTTTTGGTGCACAGCTTCGGCTTTGAGGTTGCCTCGAGGTTGCCAGTCGGCGACTTGCTCAGCGGTTTCTTGCTGCCGCTCATGATCTTGATCTTCGGACTTTGCTGAGCTTTGCTTTGCTGCTGAAAAAAGTTTTGTCCTAGACTGCAAATAAATAAAAGTTAGCTATTATCTCAAATCTGCCTCTCAACACAGAGTTTGAGAAGCCAACAAAAAAGGGAGTGGCTGGTTTTTGTTCCCCAAAACCGAGGATTGTTGAAAAAAAATCAGAACTTTAGAAAAATGAAACAAGCGATTTACTTGTGACTTTGCTTACATCAACATAATCACCTCATCACTAAACTGAAAAGGTGTAGGTAAAGTAGAGTGCATTTATATTACACAAAATGTCTGCTGAAGCTGAGAGTTAAAGGGAAAAAAACTGCAGCTGCTGCTAATCATTAAAATCTCAATCCGCTGCGAGAGATCAAATCTGATATAATGAAAATATATAAAAGAATGTGAAGAGAAGTAAAAAGCATAAAAGGAATAAAATTGCCAGTGCTAAGTAAAAAGGTATCGGATAAGAATCGGTTGAATAAGAAGAAAGTGAGCTAGCTATCCTAGGTAAAGTACGTAAGGTAAAGTAGGTAAGGTAAAGAAGAAGAATAAAAGGAAAAATGTAGGTAGGTAAGTAAAATTGTAGGTAATGTAAATGTAGCAGTAGTGGCGGCGGTGGCGGAATTGAAGAAAAAGCAGGCAATGCAAGTGCTCTGAGCTGGGGTAGCAGGAATAGCAGCAGCAGCAGGCAAAGGCTGGGATCAATAATTGAGCAATATAGAAGTGAAGAAGAGGAAGAAGAGGAAGCCGCCGCCGCCGTGGTCGTCTTCGTAGCAGAGAAAGTAAAAGTGTCGAGATCTCAAAGCGATGGAAAATGGTTACCGGTTTCGTTACAAGCTCTAAAATAGAAGAAGTTCATCAGCCAAGGAGGAGAGCCGCCTCCGCAAACCGTGGCTCCACGCCTATTTCCACCTCCTCAGCCTTCACCTTCACCATCCCCCCCTCCTCCTCCTCCGCCTCCTCCTCCTGCCGTCGTCTCTTCATGGCCTCCTCCTTAAAGGCCAGCCTCGTCCGCTCAATCAGCTCGTGGTCAATCTGAAGCCACTGCAGCGGATCACGGTGGTCCTCAATGCCCAGAGCCCGCTGCAGCTTCACCGTCGGCGGGAGGCCAAAGTGGCGCGTTCGAATATGCGACACGGCGTGGCTCTTGTTTTCCGTCACGTAGGAGCAGCCCTCGCCCCAGCTGCAGCTGAACGGTTTCACGCGTAGGTGCGTCCGCTCGTGGGTGCGCAGGTGGCCGGTGTAGGTGAAGGAGCGGCCGCACTGGGCGCAGCTGTACTTGCGGTGCTCCTTCTCAAAGTGGCGGCTAATCTCCGAGCGCCGCGAGCCCTCAAAGGCGCAGCCGGCCATGGCGCAGCGAAAGACACCGACGGCGTGCTCGGCGTAGATGTGATGCGACATTTGTTCGTACTTGCGAAAGTGTTTGCCGCACTTGGGGCAGCCAAAGGAGGTGGTGGTGGAGTGGACGTCAGAGAGGTGCGTGGTGAGGCCTTGTCTGGAGTGGGATGGGTGGAAATAGCCAAATAGAAATGGGGAAAAGAGGAAAAAGATGGTTAAAATTAAGAAACAGATTTTCGAAGTTTTAGTACTTACTGAGCATCAAAGGAGGCGGTGCAGCCGACCACCTGACAGGCAAACTGGAGGACACCGTGGTCGGCGGCCATGTGGGCGTGCATCGCCCGCTTATCAGCGGGAAAGAACATCGGACAGTCCTCAATGAGGCACTTGCGGCCGACGGTGAGCATGTTCTCCTTGCGGTTGGCCTGCGCAAAGTTGTTGATCAGCTCGTCCTGGAAGACGATCGCCTTCGGTGATGAGGTGGTGGCAGGCTCGGCTTTGACCGCGACAACAGCAGTTGTTGTTGAGTCCATCTCGGCGTACTTGCGCTTCTTGATCGGCAGCACAAACGCGGTGGGCTTTGAGCTGCCGCTGCTGCTGTTCTTTATGAGGTCCATCATGGTCAGTGGAGTGAAACTATCCGCCTCCTCTTCCTTCTTAATTTTTATCTTAGGAGCGATAACTTTCAGCGGAAACTTATTCGGCTGATGCAGAGGCTGCTGCCAGGACTTGCGAACCGACTTGATGCTCAGGTCGAGTGGCAGATGTGAGTTGTTGTTGTTGTTGTTGATGGAGGTGCTGGAGCGAATCAGAAGATCTTCCTCAGTGGAACTGTAGCCTGAAGAGGAGGGCGACCACTCGAGTGGTTTTAAATCGTCGACGATGCTGCTGTTGATGATGATACTTTTGTTGTCCATGCTGAGGTTGTTGAGTTTGTTGTTGTTTCGTTTGCGGCCAAGAGCTTTGGTGGTGGTGGTGGAAGCTAAGGAAGCTAAGGTAGCCGAAGCCGATGATTCACCAAAGGAGCGCGATGACGATGAAAGAGAACTGGAGGCGGCGAAAGATGAGCCTTTGTTTACAGGCGAGCACTTTTTAGCCGCCGCCGCCGCCGACAGCTTCGAGTCAGCTGATTTGCGCTCCTTGATCGACTTTTGCTGAGGTTGCTGAGGAATCGGCGGAAGAGCCGGCTGAGGCTGATGGCCGACAAAGTAGCTGAAGAGCGGGACGATCATCTCCAGCGAAAGCGGTGGCTCAGTTTTCGACGAGGATGAAGAGAATGAAGAACCAAGCGAGCTTCGTCCGTAGCCGCAGCTGTTGACACTCTTTCGGCCGCCTCTGAGCGTCTCCAGCTGTGTGAGCATGTTCTGGAGGATCAGATTTCTTCCACCGGAGCCGTCTTTTTCTTCAGAATCCTTAGGAGGATCCTTTGGAGGATTCTGGACCTGGGCCAGCTTGTAGGCATTGGTGGCCACCTGAGCCGACGAGCTGACCTGGTCAAAGGCCACCAGTAGAACCTGGTCCACCTGGCTGTGCAGGAGCTCGCGGGCGGCGCGGGCGTCGGCGAGAATTCGCTCGCGGAGCAGCTCTTTTTGGGCGGCGAAGCTGAAGCTGAAGCTGTCTTCGCTCATCGTCGTTTCCAAAGACATGGTCGAGCTGTCCTGAAGACACCTCTCAGAGCCGAGGAGGAGGAGGAGAAGAAGGTAATCGTCTTTGAGATCTGCTGCAGAAGATGAGAAGAATCGGTGTGATGAGTGGGATGAGCGGATCACAACAACAACAAAGCTCTGAAAAAATGAAAAGCAACGGTGATGGCGGCGGCGGTAACGTTTGTGTTGCGCAGCGGCGCTCGAGTTCTGTTCTGCGCTGAGCTGGGCGACGTTGTTTCGCTGCACTGGCTCTGCTGCTGCTGCTGCCGCTGATGTTTTCGCCTACGCTGCTGCCACTTCTGCTGCTGTCTCTGCCGCTCCTCTCTTATCTCCAGAGAATTAGTACATTCTCCTGCCCATTGGCTGCTCAAGCTCAAAGATGGCGACCCTAGGCCCACCTTTTCAAGCCGCCGCCAAAATGACGGGAGAAAAAAATTCCCCAAAGGCTCATTGGAGGAGAAACAGGTTAACGGTTTTTTCTACTTTAAGTTTACTGGCGGCAAGTGCAAACAAAGCTTTGTACAGGTGCAAAATAATGTTCAAGCGATCTTCACAGCTCCAGCTGGTGCTGAAAGACCAGCCCGAAGACGTAGAAGAGGAAGGCGGCGTAGTAGGAGAGGATCTAAGGGGGGGGGGAAGGGGAGAGTGAAAAAAGGGTCAAAAAGATTACCTCCGTCTTTCTAAACATCCTCCATCTTTACCTCACAAATCGTCTCCGGAGTCAGCGTGGCGGTGGGGCCAATGGTAATGCCATATTTGAATGACTTTGTGTGAATTCGCGTGTAGTAGTTCATCAGGCGGAGCTTCAGGCGAAGATTGAGGAAGTGGGATTTTCGAACTCTAGAGACCTCCTCCTCTTCATCACCCCCACCTCCATCACCCTCTTTACCACCATCACCTCCTCCCCCTAAAATCATCTGCAACTTCGGAATATCGGCCGCATAATGTAACCTTCTCCCCTGGAAGGCGAGCGGCACCAGCGCCGCCAGCAGCATCACCGCCTGTCCGACAATGAAGACCGTGTTGATGGTCTTATCAAGCGGAGGCAGGGGGCGAAAGACGGCCCGCGCGACGAAGGCGATGTTGATGGGGATGTTCGCAAACAACGAGACCAGCACCGTCTGCCCGAAAACATCGGAGTTCGATCGGAGAACCTGAACTGAAAGTCGAATGTGCTCCGCGAAGACTCGCTCCAGAAAGGCGGAAAAGACCGGGGAGGGGGGCGTTGGTTCGATAAAGTTCCCCTCCTCCTCCTCCTCTTCTCCACCTCGCCGTGAAGGAGCCGGTTCCAGTGGCCCATGTGCCGCGTGTTGACAGTGGCGCTCAGCAGGGCGCAACAGGTGAGGACGAAACCGGTGCCAAACAGCAGATTGATCATGTGGAGGATGATGAAGGCGTGAAGGGTGGACCAGGCGGTGACCAGCGCCCAGAGGGGCCAA